ATTGCTCATCGTTTGGCAACAATTCGAAATGCTCATCGAATTTATGTGTTAGATAATGGGCGTGTCATCGAACAAGGTACACATGAGGCACTGATGTCACAAGAAGGAAGTCGATATCGTGAGATGATGAAATCTCAACAGAGAGAAAAAATAGAAAATAATATCAATGAAACAACTAGCATCGCACAAACAGAAGATGATGATCAAAACAAAATATGTACGTAAATACTTTTAACAAAAGAATACTTCGGAAGCGATCATTTTTTCAATTAGTGGAACATGATCGACGTCGTAGCTCTAATGGACTTGACGATGAAGACAAAGTAAAGAACACGAATGTATTTCTGTCGAGATGGTTTTTGCATTTACATCGTACTTTTAATAGGCGTCATCAACTACAAATCGTCTACCTGTCTTCTTGCGACTTTTGTTTTTGAACAGTCCAGAATGGATCATCATTCTGATCGGCTGCGTGGCTTGCCTCATTTGTGGAGCAGGCCAATCAGTCCAGGTCATTCTACTCACACGTACAATTTCTGTAAGTCAATTTCTCGTATAACACAACCCATATTGTCGTAATGATTGTTCACAGGCATTCGGAGCGTGTACCTACGAAGATCGACGCCTTCAAGTTTTGAAATTTTCTCTTTTCATTTTCTTGATGGGTGTTGCGTTTTTGTTCATTCGTTTTATACAAGTAGGAAAATACCTCATAAAGCGTTTCATATTTTCTATATTAATAGTACACTGCTTTTGCCGTATCTGGCTCAAAACTGATCGAGCGTATTTGTGCTAAAGCTTTTGCACACCTTCTACGTCAAGAAGTAGCTTTCTTTGATCGTCTTGAAAATAGTTCTGGAGCTATTTGTAATCGTCTCTCATCTGATGCGTTGGCAATTCAGCAGATGGCTGGCGCTCGTCTAGGCATTGTTTGTGAATCAATCGCAATGTTTGTAATTGGCCTTGTTCTCGGAGTTTTGGTCAGTTGGCAATTGACTTTAATCGTATTATTCTACATTGTCTCTTTATTTGTTCTTGCTTTCATGCAAATATGTTGGCAAGCACGATTAAACAAACGTTCTGATTGTATTATGCAATTAGCAAGTTCGGTAAGACCAACATTTCGATTATAGTATCATGTACACTAAACTACTGATAGTGAATCTTCTTTTACTAATAGCTCGCTGTCGAGATCATTCACAATATGCGTACGGTGAAGCAGTTGGCAAACGAAGAGGAGTTCGTACGTCAATTCTCATATTTAGTTTTCAAAGAGTTCAAGTCGGTCTTTCAATGGCTTTTTTTCCTTAATCTCTATGCATTATTTTCTCATAGAATTCGTCGAAATGATATAATCATATCCTCGTTACTAAACAGTATCTATTGCGGAATGGCACCATTCATATTGTTGTTTCTCGGTTGGCGGGCTCTCATCCTTGTTGAACACAAAGAACTGAAGATGAACAATATCTCTGTGTACAAAAATAGAAAGCTTTAGAATCTATTTTACCTATGTGTTTTTCTAGCGTGTTTGCCTATTATACTTTCTCCATAGAATCTCTGCGATTCACCACGATCTTGTAAGTCATTGCGCCGATCGATTTCTCTCCTCTAAGTGCTCTTATTCAGAACGCGGCAGATGAGTGATTCATTGTCAGCAGCTCGAAGTTTCTTCGATCTATTCGATCGAAGATCAGTCATCGACAATTGTTCTACGGATGGTCAACAATTGGTAAGTGATTCATTCCGTAAAAGTCTCAGTGTTGAACAGATTACTCTTACATCATTGTTGAAATGTATTGATGATAGAATGATTTCAAAGGTGAAATCGAATTTGACCAAGTGGAATTTGCCTATGCATCTCGACCGAAATCTCGCATTCTGAATAAATTTCAGTTGACCATCAAACCTGGTGAGTTTATCCTGTGTATTTTCAATATAGTTTGTGATGATATCTATCTATTTGTCAATTAGGTCAGCATGTAGCCCTTATAGGTATGTCGAAGTCAGTTGTTGCTCATTCAAAGTACTTATATAATCTATTCACAAAGGTGCATCTGGTTGTGGCAAATCGACAGTCATTCAGCTCTTGGAACGATTCTACGATCCCATACAAGGTCGAATTGTGAGTATCTCTCTTTTGTCCTGTTAACATATTCTTGTAAGCACTCGACTAGTGAAATTTAGTGTCTCGATGGCGTTGATATTCGACAATTGAATATTCAATGGCTCCGTTCGTGTCTTGGTCTTGTTAGCCAAGAGCCTATCTTGTTCGATTTAACTATTGCTCAGAACATAACATATGGTAGAGAGAACATTTCGATGGAAGATATTATCAATGCAGCCACCAAAGCCAACATTCATCATTTCATTCAGCAGTTACCTCAAGTAAGAAAAGAATAACGCATTATATTTTTGATTGTGTCTTTGTATCATTACAACAGGGCTATGAGACCAGAGTGGGTATGAAAGGTAGCCACTTGTCAGGTGGTGAGAAACAACGTATTGCCATTGCTCGAGCTCTTCTTCGTCAACCAAAAGTATTGCTGCTAGACGAAGCAACAAGTGCCATGGATTCGTTCAATGAAAAGGTTCGTTTTCTTACGATGCTCATTAATCAAATAGTCATTATCGATATGTTTAGATCGTGCAAGAAGCTCTTGAAAAAGCACAAACAGACGATCCAACTCGAACTACACTAATCATTGCTCATCGTCTGTCGACGATTCGTTCGTGTGATTTGATCTGTGTTCTTGACAATGGATACTTGGTAGAAAGTGGTACTCATGAAGACTTAATGAAACAACGTGGAGTCTACTATCATATGGTTGTTTGCAGCAATACTTCGTAAACAGTCTTTGTCGTTATTTTAACGAAACTGATTAGCAATCGAAATAGACTCTTCTATTTTTCTTTTCTGTACTAATTTTTCGAATGATTTTTTAAAATTAATTTCCTTCTCTTAGCAACTCAAAAGACATACTAGCGAATTTAAGCAGTTTTTCTAATTGAACTCATTATCAGGGTGATTGATAAGGCAGAGAACAAGTCTCTCTCGTTCTTCTTCACCAATGAACTCTATGTCGAACCTACGACTTTGATTCAAACAGGAAAAAAACAAATTAATAAGAATGACAAAGAACAGAAAAAACATCAATGCGAGGTTACCACAACACAATTCGTCATCACGATCATGGTGGCGTTTCAATTGAATGCATTGTGCTAGCCAATAAACAAGCTCTATAAAGGACGCACATTGACAGACAGACAGAGGATGTGGGTGTGGGTGTGGGTGTGCATCTTGCGTTCATCTACACCAAGATTTACATCCACACCCAATTATAAGCACTATCCCATTTCTGCTACATTCTCTCTCCGAAAAAGATCTACACTGCCAGAAACTTCCTAAAAGAGGCACAAAACTCATAACAGCTTGTAAACTCTTTTGGACAATCCTTTATGACGCCTATTCAGTCGTTTGCTGGAGAATAAATCCAACGTCAACCGATACAGAATCATGCGAGCTATCTAATGATGATCGTATTGTCTCTTCGCAAACGATCTGCGGTCCTAGAAAATTGTTAAAACTTCCGAAAACGTCATATAGAAATGAAAGCAAGAAATAGCAGACTTCAATCAATTGAAGTTCCTCGGAGTGCTTGGAACTCCTTCGAAGTCTCCTGAAACCCTCGGTAGTTGTGCAAAAGTCCACCATAAAATATTAAAAATGCTGCGGATGTGAATGTGGATGTGGGTGTGATTTTGGGCACATTGTTCATTAGAAACTTCCAATCACATTCACACCCACATTCATACTCACATCCATACCTTCATCATAAACTGAAAGATTTTTATGTATATTATGTCGATCTTGGGAGTTAAATATGCGTCAATGGATAATTAATACTGAAAATAATGATAAAATAGAGATCGTTTGTTTAGCTGAAGATTTTTTGACTATTTCAACATCACTACGATTAATACATTTTATGAGTTTATTGACTATTTAACCCTTTCGCGTCGGAGCTTTTTTCAGTAAAAAATGTGTTCGTATATAGTGGAAACTTCGTTTTATTACAGTCTGTAAAAAGCTTGTGCGTCTGGAAGGAAAAGTAGCTTTCTCAATCGCTGGAAATTCTAAATGTTCTGTCTGCAGCTAGCTCATTGTAGACATTATTTTTCATTCTCACACCTTTCGCAAACATAAATCCTCTCTTGCAAATTCATATTGACAGAGTACGGACTACAAACACATGATAAGAGAGTAGTGAGCACGTGTCATTCTTTTGTCTTTTAAATCGCCTTCGTACAAACTTGTGAATCAAAACTTTTTTCAACCTCGATAGTGAGCAGAGGAATTGACGCAACTATTTTCAAAATGGGACAAACAATTTTCACTTTACCAGCAGCTAGGTGAGATGAACTATCTGTTCCATTCAACTCGAGTTCGCTATCTCATCAACTTTTGCTTGAATTTCAACAGAAACCCAACAACACATAGTAGTTCTGATGAACGGCAAATCGTCGGATCTTCGTCTATACTAAGCCATTCTGTATTAGCGAAACATGGTTACGCATCTGCAAGCAGTAGTTCACCTCTACCAATCGATGCATCAACAAGTGAGTAAATTCGATTGGTGAATGCATATCACATCTTTTAAGTTAGCGTCTAGCACTAGGTAAAAACGACTCAGCCTTCTCAATAAAAATATTATTATACGAATGTTGTCCGAATCCATTTACGGAAATTTTCAGACAGTTTTATCGATTTTAATCCTAAGCAATAACTATGAGAGACCTGTTAGGTTGTTTTGCCGATGAATATCTTTTATAAGAGAAATATTTAGAAGCACTTTTACAACAGTGAAAGACTCTTGTGAAGTGCTGTTTTGAAGAAACGGGTGACTTCAAAGAATAGACTATGCAACAATTGAATGAAATTATTGTAAGGAGTTAAAGCTATTGTGTTCAATTCTCTCTAACTAATTTGTTTGTAGAGATAACGAAAAGCGCTGTTGTGAAAGTGTTTGGAAGACCGTACAGGACGAAATTTTGTCTACGTATGCTTGAGATTCAAGACGTTGTAGTGTTGAATCGGAAATACTCTCTAAAAAAAAGAATGACTGAAAAATCAATTTCTTAGCATTTAGATAGTTGCTTACAGCTATTCTATTTCGGTATGAATCACTGCCATAGTAAAAATGTTGTTTTCGTTCAGCCAACGAACTGGAAACTTCTTCAAGTGTCGCAACACAGAGCTTTCTTTTTCGACTTCAGAAGAAACTCTTCGGGTGAGTCTACTTTACATATAGTCAACGATAGCAAACTATAGCAACGATTTGATGTGTATTTCTTGCACTAGCAAACTGTCCAACAAGTATGTGGCCAGAATTCTTCTTCCGGAAAATTTGACTCGCATTCTGACGAATCTACATAATTTGGCACAAGGCTTTACCCATAGTGAACGCCTGGCAGATCGCTTGAGTGAATCAATACTCAAGACACTTGTGAAATTGTATGTGCTGAATAGAAATAACATGTTCACAGAACGTGAATTTCAACTGTTCCGTGATTTTAATGATCGTTTGGATTCATCGGTCAAAACCTTTGTCAAACTTTATGAAAATTCGTCCATTATCAACCGGCATCTTCTCATACAAAAATTCAAAGAATGCCAAAAGATGCTACATACAATCATAGCTAATCGTCTATCACGCAATAGCCACGAACGTATCGATTTTATTTTTAATTTTTTATGCGATGGAGAATTTCTCAAGTATGTCTTCGACTCCAAATCCGCATTGAATCATGCTATTGCCAGAGAGATGATTGTCGACATGGGCTTGCTCATGCATCGAAGACTATTCTGATCTAATCTGCTTCGGTAATTTAACAAAAAATATGCGCGATTGAGTATTTGATTAACTAAATCATTGGAATCGTGTTGTACACCATCTACTGTAATTATCACTGATTTCATGCATTCACTGTGTAATAAATGCAAAAATTACTCTTGAACATCACAGAAAAAACTCATATAGAATTAATAACGAATTATTTTTGTTTTACATGGGACACTCTAAAAGTTTTTTTTTCACCAATCCTTTGGATAAATATTCAAAATCTGGTTATAGTGTTGTTTTTCAAAGTATCATGATTAATGCACAACGTATTCGCTTATACAACGTCGTTAGAATTTTGTTCTACAATATTTAGCATTGTATTATTGTTGTGGTCAAATATAATCTAATATAGTTGATATTTGAGTTTTGAAAAAAGAAATGAGTCATATGAGATAATGCCTGTAGAGAATATCATATAGATTTGAAGACATTTTTCAGTGATGTTCCACTCAGAGCTGCTGACAGATCACTTTTTTTGCTAGTCTAGCTCGGGAGTGTCTGTAGATCAAATCAAGTCGATTGGTGTTTCTGATTTCGTGAATACGTCTAATTGTACAATTCTACATTAGTATATTATTCTAGTTTCACTTGTCGACTTCATTTATTTGCATAAGAGCAAGTTCGTGGACGAGATAGCAAATAGTAATCATAAAAAAATTTTCATACGACATCAAAAAAAATGTTATCATAATAACTAAAACAATATAAGATAAAACATACAACGAAGATGTAAAAGAAAGTATATAACAACAATGTAGGAGAAAGGTAATATTTATAAAAACAGGCAAGGGTATTTATATTTTGCAAAAGCACGATGGTAAAATTCACTATCCAGTATATTTGGATATAAAAAGCCTTTCTGTTAGTAAATATAAGTCCTACGACACTAAATTGACCTTCGGTTTAAGTATTTATTGCTAGCATCGAAGAAGTTTATTAAAGTACTCTCGAATAATAAGGCAATGCATCAGGATTTGATTTCCAAAATTTAGAAGCCAAGTCAAGAACTTTGACCTGATTGAAAGCTCGGGTGCAAGCGTAGTATTTCTGTTCATCTATATTCACCCTCAATCATGCTCGATGTACAAGTACAAGATAATGTAACTTGCAGATGAAAATTGTTCTACGAAACATGTCAATTAGATATTAATGGTTCATATTTTATCGTAAATGTATAGAGACGTGGAAGATATATATTTGTATGACATAGAAATTGATTAATGTAATCCATGTGTGCATGAATAAGTTTAAGTTGAATTAGATGTAAATATTAAAATATTAGAAGAGTTTTGTTTATCATTAACTGTTTCAAATTGATATTTATTTTTTACTAGTGTTAAATTGTAAACTAATAAATATTTGAGTAATGAAAAAGCTCGAGATATCCATTGAAAAAAGTTATATATCGTACAACATCAAATCAGTAACAAATTCTAAATGATGATTATGAAAACTATTAGTAAGATGCATGAAACGAGTCATTTTAAATAATATTGAATAAATTTAACAATACGTAAATCCATCTATGAAATTATCAATACAACAACAAACTAAAGAATATTTCCAATTACCAAATGTATTATTATTTCAGAAGTTTGTATGATTGCACAGATATGAATGTATTTAAATTTAACATATGACTAAGAATTTCTTGACCAAGATGTATATCATCAATCATGGTTAATCGCATTATATTAAGACATAGAGTAAGACTATTCAAATTTGACATTCGATAATCATAAGCATATTTGTATATGAATAACTGGTCAAAGCGAATTCTTTCAGATTAGGTAAAACTTTCGATACAAAAATTGGTGATCTTTGGATAGAACTAATATTGACAGTGAATGAAGATAATTGATCTAGACAACCATCAAAGATTTTCAAATTTGAAGAACAACAAATATTAGGAGATCGATCATAAAGTAAAAGTTGGACATAAGTAAATGATTGTTTGGTAACTACTTAATTTCTAGTCTTAATGGTAATATGTCTGATCTACTCTCCAAACAATCGAGCAATTGGTGATTCTCGTCTATTAATATGATCAAATAGATATTCATTATAGGATGATTAAAAAAAATATATTCTTTACCTATTAAATAACGTAAAAGGATGTTCGATGAAAAAGTGACAAAGACAATCATACTTAGATTAGCATATTCACAAGCAAAGAGAATACGTTTCATAAAAGCACTCTCCACACGGACATCCATATTCACACCCACACTTATCTACATAAAGAAACATAGTCTTGTCATTAGTTATGTTCTTGAATATTTTTCATACACTATTATTTCTTGTTGACGTACTTCTATGTCTCTCAATTTTTTTGCATGCCATAAAAGGTATTCATCTTGCTTGTCAAGAATCTCAAAATAAAAATCTTTGACTATACGTCTTGGTTCTATTAATATAATTATCTCTCATACTTACTGTTGTTAACATGATTGTTCAAGTTTACTTTCTTGTCAAGCTGTATATATTTTCAGTAGTAGTACGCATAAACATACAATATAAGAGATGATAACTATGAAAAAGATGAATTATAATGAAATATTTTTATCATTTATTGTTCTTTCTAACAAACATATGAGGTAATCAATAGATAGAGCTTAGGAAAACCTATTAGACAGAGATATTTTGATTTTGAAAATGTTTCATTATAACTGAAGACAAATAACAAATTTATTAAATATAAAATTCATGCTGGAACAGTATATTCTTATCAGAAACCAAGAAAAGCTCTTACTAATAGTTACTTTTTAATTGAAATTTGATGTAACTATAGTGTTATTGATATATTCACCTGCGGAAGAAAAACTTCGATCTAGAAAGGATTTTTTCGTTTTGATCGGATTATTTAAATTATTGTTGTGTATTTTTCTTTATAATATTTTTTTTATGTCTCATTGTGATACCAAATTTTATCAATAATTTAGATATACTTTTGTAGCTATTGAAACGTTCTATTTACAATATATAATTGACCGTAACGAAAATGAATTTATATAATGAAATAGAAAAATTAGTAGGGCACATCCTTTATGTAAAAAATACAGAATATTCCCTAGACTGAACGAATAGGATCTAGAAATGGAAATTCACCTGGGATCTGTCTATTTGTAATATAGTTATCATATGGCAACTAAGATATCGATGACCATCTGGTAGCTATGGCTACAGTGGTACAAATAACTGCGTGCGAATAACAAAAAAAAAGGTGCCTACGCATAAAGATTCAAATTAATCAAAATGTAGTATCCAACGACGAAGATAAGAAAATTCGTTTTATCTAGGATGCTATTAGAAGTGACGATTATTTTTATTAAATTATTGAATGATTCAACCGATTTGGTGTAAATGTGGATCTATCCGTTCTCTTCAACGACATCCACAAATAGAAACAGCTAATATACATGGATTTCGAACTTGTCTCAAGTATGGCAGTTAAACGAACACCTTAGTTAAATTTTAGGTATTTGATCTGACATGGATATCTGAATTAGTGTAGAGAGAAAACAAGTTGAATTCATTTTTGCGACCTAACAATTCTAATATACGTGATAAGATACATGTAGAAATAGGGAATTCAATATTTCGACATTCATTGATAGATACTAATGTGTAACATAGGATGAACAAGTCATCGTAGTCTAAACTCATCCATGTATTAGATATGATCTCATCGATCAAGTATCACAAATCAATTACGATTTTGTTTTACTGCGTCGAACAATGTTACTAACACAAGTCGACAGTTCTAGAACTATAAGTATCTTTATTATTTTAAAGAAAAAAAAACAATAAAAGCTGACATCGAAGAGCTTTGCAGTTGAAGAAAACGTTATTTTTATTTTTTTTTAATTTAGTCAAAGATTTCCATCTTTGTTCGTTTCTTTAGCTCTAACAATGAACGAAGTAGCAGCTACCAACTTAAAATTATTGTTCTTCTCAAATTTTTGTAATTGAAATTGTTTGCGTTTGCTCGAGTCACTTACACCAATGGTTCCACTGCCGGAAGCTACTTGACCATTGGCTGATTTGTACAATAAGATAATGTATTGATGCGGACCAGTGCCATCCGGTGGTGCTGGGCCTTGGTAATCAGCTGTTATATAAAACAAAAACAAATCAGTTGATAATAAAATGATTTTGACTCATATAAAATTGAAGATTTAATATCATCTAACTAATTTATATCGGATAATGAGTATTTCTCTCTCTCTACCTTATAGACGAACAACTTATTGAAAATAAAGAGTGTACACTTTAATATTATTTGAATATCTCTCTATCTTTATTACGAACTAGTTGCATAAAAAATTTATATGATATGTAAAAGGCACTGCATCTCCCTATCCGCACATATTGACAGATCAATAAAAAAGAAAAAATACCTTTCTACCCTCAAAAATAGAATATTAAATGGAGAAAAATGAACTTACATTAAAAAGAAGTATGTGTGTGCCTATTCTTATGAATAAGCCATATTCACAATTCGCTTGTTGGCCACGAACACGCGTAAAAAGTGGCCACATATTGACTTAATTGTTGCTAAGAATGGTCTCTTTTCTTTCATCTATCTTTCTCAATCGTCTTGCTAGTATATACTAGCAAGACGATTGAGAAAGATAGATGAAAGAAAAGAGGACGTCCTTAGCGACAATTAAGTCAATATGTGGCCACTTTTTACACGTATTCGTGACTAACAAGCGAATTATGAATATGACTCATTGCTACAAATTGATCATCTGTAAAAAGAAAAAGATAGGTTTCTCTTAACTAAGAGGTTTACGTCTTCCATAATTATTAATGACAGCACAACAGGAGAGTTGAGGAAAGAGCTCAGTCTTCTCTGACCAAAAATTCTGGCATCACCGCTAATCGTTATGAAATTACCAGAAATAGTATCACAATTGTGGCATAGATACTTTTGTGATGATGCTTGTCAAACTTATCCATGGTAATCATTTCGATTTCAGAAATGAAATGTTTATCAACTGGTTTATTGCTCATAGAGAGTTACTCAATAGATCGAGGCATAATGATTTTCATAAGACATAATTTTCGAATTCAACACCTGTCTAAATATGTCTGTTATATATTTTGATCAAATACGTCCGAAAGTAGATAATTATTTAATTATACTACAATATTTTCCATGGAGGAATATTTGTATCTGTATGTTGATGTAAAGAATTTTTTGATGTACAATGGACGTTCTTTGGTTGAAATAATTTTTTAATCACTTTTCTGCATAAATATGGCGAAATTGGATAAAAAACGAATGAAAACAGTAGAAAAAGGCGCATAAAAATCGACTAAAAGTCGCTTTTTTTGTTCAAAAAATGTCAAAACTCGATAGATCTGTCTGTTTGGGTAGTCACACATTAAAGGGAAAGAGCAAAAAAAGAATGTCTACCGAGAGTTGTGCCACTATTGACATTGTTTCCTTTGAATGAAGCTTTAATCCAATGTAGCCATGGACCAGCTACTTCATTACCTCGCCGAGGTGCATCAGGATCAATCATAACCTAATATAATAGAAATATGGTATGATGAAAAATAAGAAAAATAAAATAAATTACTAATGTAAAAAAGGACATTTTTGAATCAGTTTTCAAGTTGATTTGAACAGTAGGAGTTATTTGAGTATCAGCTCTTTTCAGCAAATCTCCATCACGAGCCTGGTTACCTTGATATTGAATGATAATTTTATTGGCTTTATTTTTTCCAGCTTGGTACTGTTTTCGTAGATATTTCACGTCCGAACTGATATCGGCTATTGCAATTGAGATGATGATGGTGAATAAAATTAATATAAATGTGTAACAATAAGAATTAGACGTCATAATGCGTGTTTTTGAGAAAAGAATACGAGTTTATGCGATGAAAAATAAGAGAAGCATTCCAAATCATTTGTTATTGAAATACGTCTATAATTTGATCATATAACGAACGAATGAAAAGAGTCGAGAGGAAAAAATAGCAATAGAAGCGCTAGATGGAGCAACACTATGACTTAATTCTGCTTCAGTTGACAACGAAATACAATCAAAATGTTCTGATCCTCTTTTTTAATCTCATGGATCACCATCAATCTAACATTGGTACTTGATATTTAATAAACATATTAATACAGTTACAGACATATTGGTGAGAACTATTGTAAAAAGTGATGAGTAACTCATAGCGAACTGTTTCTTTATAATGAGTCTTCGATTCTGTATCCGTATGATTATTTCGCGATAATAAATCAACAACTTGTCTCCAGCAGTAGGTAACATCAAATTTACTTACAAGAGATCTTCTTCTCTTCTTATTTTCTTCAATAATTCACCAATCAGCAGCATTTCTGCTATTTGACAATTTCAACTGATCCATTTAGCAAGAATCTGATAATGAAAATAACGAATACGAAATGTGAAAAGAAATATTTTGGCATTAGAACAATTTTTTTTATCGAAATTCTATCCATTTTATTCTCTTCATTTTTCATCTAGTAATATAAATGGCTGTTTCAATTGATCAAAAAAGTCTATTCATTGGATTCTTTTTACCTTAGAAGCCGACGATTTTTCTTGGAAATTATGCTAATAGATTACACAACCATTTATAAATAAAATATGGGCTTAAAAGAATACAATAGTCAGGGTAATGATTCTCAGAGTCCAGATATAGGCATCTCCGACGCCGGAGCTGCCAATCGACGTAAACCTCTTTTCTGATCATTTTCCGTCTGACTCACTGCAATAAATACGAGAAAAATGATTGTAATATCCACAGATTAACCCAAAAAATGTTGTTTCATTTATGACTGAAATTCCACTGCATTCTTTGATTGATGAATGTGTAATATGATATTTGCTTAGATCTATTTGTGTAAATAGAGATGAGATGTGTTGGTGATATACCTAATGTCACATCTAATTGTCCAACGTATGGACTTAAACCACTTCGAACTAAAATAATTAATATCGTTTTCTGATGAATTGTTTTAAAACTTTTAATAGACTTTATTTCGATCATTGTCTTTCAAAAGAAAAATTATTGTAAAACTGAATAATCAAACAACATTAGTGGAAAGAGATTCATAAAATGATAATTTATTACATGCATATCTAGTGTGATGACTTAAAAAATACATTTAAAAATAAAGTTTTCAGTTCTTTAGAAGTAAAAGCATAAACAAGAACATCCAATGCCGAATTTGTATATCCTAGCCATGTAAGTATATTGAATAATAATTGATGATTTTGATCATCTTTCAAACGTAAACCAAAAACACCATTCAATAAAAGATAAACAAAGAGTGGTAACCAACAACCAATAAATGCACCCATAACAATACCAATAAATTTAGTAGCCTTTTGATCTTGTGAAATTTGTCTCCACAAATTTTTTCTATGTATATTTTGTTTTAGAATTTTATTAACAAATGTATTGTCATGTTCATGATTCTGATTGATTGATTCTAGGGTTGGATGTTGATATGAACCACAATGAATACGAAGTGTTATTAATTCAATTGACACTCTAGGATTCTGTAATAATACATTTGATTTATTATGTACATTTTTATTAGAGATTTTCACTCGTTTTTTTATTTTTGATCCTTTCTCAATTAGAGTTTGTCTTAAACGAAATTTTGGAATGCATGATTTTTTTGATTTAATCAAATGTTGACGTTTGTAACCTGAACGAAGTGCTGAAGCTTGTTTTTTAGCTGCCAAATACACTTTAATATAGACATAAATCATAATGATGAATGGTAAATAAAATGATACGGTAGTTGTGAATAATACATAATACGGATTATTCGGAAATTCACATTCTTTCGATGTTTCGTGATTTGATACAATTGGTTGTCCTAAATCAGACATGATAGTGAATAACGGTAATATACTCTCGATAAAAACCTATCGTACTAAATTCTTAATCTATGTCTTGTAGAAATGACTGACAAAAGAAAAATGATCCAACCGAATATTAGGATATTAGATCCAAACACGTTCTTAATGAAGTATCTGTCGTATCCGAACGCGTTTCTGAAGTTTTTTCGAAACAAAAACATCGTGTTCTCGTAGAATTGACCATGAAAAATTCAACACAATTCTAAAACACTCTATTTTGGATGTTCACTCTACTAAACATACGCTTCTAGCACTTTTCATCATGAAAAAAAAATGAGAGAACACATTTTCAAGGAGAGAGTAAAAATTAGACCGGTCTCATCGAATTTCAAAATGATATTAAGTTATATAAAGAACCTAGTTTATATCAATAAATCATATTTCTATCATTCGATATTGTTTTACTCGTAAATTTATGCTTGGCGATAAAACTTGTATTGGACTCATTGTGAACATTATGAAAATTCTTCGTAGAGAATTGCTTCTATGTGTTTATCAGTTTAATATCAAAGATCAACTGTGACTCGTTTTAGGCAACAAAAAAAAACCTATCATATCCTAATATCTTCTATGGAACTTTCGATAAAGACAAAAGTGCTATTTTGATCAAGACCAAAACAATAATTGAGACGATCATACGTGAATATAATGATCATCTAAAGTGCTGTGATTTTTGTCAAGTACTTCATCTATGCGAGTTCTTATGACCACGATTATGTAGCCGAGACAATTATTTTCTCGAATAAATAACAAAATCAGTATTAAATATTGAATTATAGAAGCGTTCTCAGTTGAAATACTTCTGTATGCGAGTAGTGTTTGAGACGGATCCAAGACGCGGACGAACGAACGTACTTCTTCAATGTTTCTGTTCTTACTCGCGTTTGATGTCTACATGACTAGTCGTTCAGTTCATAGTCTATTATGTGGCAAGTATTACTGGTCTTATTCTCATATCTTTTAGTGCAGAGTTAAGCAAGAAAATTTTATTTCTACGATAAAAATGCATCAGTATTCAATCAGAACTTCAGAATAAATACTTATTTGTACAGATTGTCGAGAATTTTTTGTTTAAATTTGTAACATTTCTAATTCGAAGTTTAATGAGTTGAATGTGCAACAATCTTGATATGAAAGAAAAAAAAATGAACATTTTCTTTTTACGTACGAGAAGATACTTGTTCTGTTCCAATGTGAATTACTGCTGGAAATGATATCACTGCTGAACATATCCATATAAATGATACCATATAATACCATCTCTTTGATATAAATGAATTTAGATGTTTCATTGGTCTTGTAATGGCTACATATCGATCTAATCCAATAGTACACAGTCCTAATATAGATGCTGTTGATGCAAATATATCCATTGAATGCCAAAAATCACATAGAAATCTCATATGTTGTGAAAACAACCAATATTCATCATTTGTCAATGTAAATATAAATGCAAAAGGCATCACTATTAAACCAACTAAAAGATCAGCAAGTGCCAATGATGCAATATAGTAATATTTCGATGTATGTAATGTAAATTCACGAATAATAAGATATATTATTAACAAATTTCCTACTATAGTAAATAAACATAGTAATAATAGAAACAGAAAAATTGGATATGTATGCCATTGTATGTTAGTTATTGTTGTGTTGGTGGTTAATGAAAATAATCCCATAGTTTCATAGATTATTTTAAATATTTATATATTAGTTGACTACAAATGTATTTCTGACTGTTTTCACGATCTAATAATTGCGAAGTACCTAAATTATTCAACAAAAGAAAAAAAAGTCGAAACATCGTGAACCATGTATATGTCATTCATATCAAGTCTTTAAAAAAAACTGATTGAAGATCTTTTGAACTTGATTTTTTCATGAGTTGATATCTTTCAAAGTCTTGTTTTTTTTTTTATTTTATTAATAATCAAATGGAATTACTAAATCTCTCTTCTCAGTGTAAAAGATCATATTCATTTACAATATCTCGGCACATCACTAGGTTTTTGATGATCATCTATTAACTTCGAACCAATTATTAACAGAAATATACATAGAACGATCAAAAAATTCTGAGAACTAGTAAAATCCTTTCAATAAGCAGTACATTATATTTATACCTCTTAATTAATGCTTTTTGAACATCGTTGCGATCATTAGATAGTATTAACAAACCGTATAGAATGCACCTGATAAATAAATAATGCTCACGTTATCATTAAAAAAAAATGATAAACATTGTTTGTTTATATGCTGTCATCTTCTTACGACAAGTAAAATGTTTTCTCCATTTACAGACTAGGATCTCTCTTTTGTCTCTACCTAATACTGCGATATCTAATCTATCTGTCAACGTCGGTCATTATATCACATCATCGTAGTATCCATTTCATAAAATCTGCCAAATTTTCGATACTGAATCGACGAGTATAACTAAACAATAACTGAGCCATCAGTTTGACACATATTAATGAATACAAAAAGATTATTCCTAAACATATCGAACATTGCTATGATGTATTCTAACATTTGCTATAGACAAATAAATATAATGTACTGCTAATTGAAGGGATGTTAATAGTTCGTAGAACTTTTTGATCATTCTATGTAATTAAAGTTCAAATGATTATTTCATAGTTTAAATCAATACTTGTTTTTTGACTCTTTGCTTAAAGAAATACTCTCTTCGATTTATGAGAATATAGAAAGATATTCTGTGAAAAAATCTTACGAAGCAGATATATTTTCCAAAAACACCATATTATTGAAGAAACTGATTGTATAAGTGCATGTCGTATGAATATGGAGTTTAAGCATTACGTAGATACGGTTTTATACAAAGAATGACTCTGTCAAAAAGATTAATCAACTATTCTGATGAAAGATTCTATAGAGAATGAAAAAGAATCCTATTATATATAGGGGTGACCCTTTATCTTTATTTTCCTTTATAATAAAGCATAAAGATAAATGATACTCTTTTTTTTGTCAATCATTTATCTTTAGAAAATAACGATAAAGGAATCATTTATTCTTATTAAGTAAAGGAATGAAGGGTTATTGTCTTTCGAATGAAATAGGACTAAAAGTGTTCTAGAATTATGGAACACGCTTTGAAGAATATTTTTATAATTGAACGGATCTGTTTTGACGGAAATAAAGTCTCGAACGTGCAAAATAAATTGCAGATTTTTCATTAATATTTAGTGAATTTAGCTAGAAAAATAGAAATTGAATTACAATTAATATCATATCTTTAATCAGCATTTAAAAAAAAGCAAACCTATGAATGTTTCGAATACTTTTTAAATATTTCGAGTTTTATCGAAAAATTTGCCCTGGTAGCCTTCAGGACTCTGGTATCAGAAAAGTAGACTTGACGAAGATGTAGTTGTAATTTGTTAATACATACTCATTATGTGTGCCACTATCATTTTACAAGTTTAGGGCATGTTAGTGCCTGTCGAATTTCATTTTTGGTGAAGTGCACTTTTTTTGTTCTCAGAATTCTGAGTTGTACTAGGGCAAACTTTTCGATAAAGCTCGAGATATTTAAAAAGTATTCGAAACATTCATAGATTTGCTTATTTTTTTTAATGCTGATTAAAGATATGATATTAGTTGTAATTCAATTTCTATTTTTCTAGCTAAAATTCACTAAATATTAATGAAAAACCGGCAATTTATTTTGCGCGTTCGAGACTTTATTTCTGTCAAAATAGATCCGTTCAATTAGAAAAATGTTCTTCAAAGCGAGTTCCATAATTCTAGAACACTTTTAGTCCTATTTCATTTGAAAAACAATAACCCTTTATTCCTTTATTCATTTATCATTATTTTTCACAGTAACACTAAATGACCACCCCTAATTATATACGATAGTTAGAAACAGAACAAGTCTTTGTAGAATTTTGGAAGATTATGCAGTTAACAGATGAAGTAAGCAAAGAAAGTTGATAACTTCAGTGAAAGAGTAGATGATGTATATCGCATATCGTTGTAAAATTATCCAACGTTTGAGTGATATTTCAAGAATGTTCTCAAGAATCTAGCTAATTATATCTATATTTATGTACTTCACTGTGATACTTTTACCTGCTTATTATGTTAGAATAGATTCAAAGCTCGTATAGATACTGGCATATTCGTAGTAGAACGATATGTCCGTCAAAACATTTCTCAAATTCCTTCCGTTCCCTTACGAAGAAAACTTGCATAGTGTAATGGAAAAATAAGTGTAACAAAAGGAGAACGGAAAGAGAACATGCTCGGAAAGCTAAGTATCAACACAGTTCTAGTAATAGCAAAACATTTGATATAAAGAAGCTAAAGAAAAGAATAACAATATCAAGAGAGACAGAACAGAAGCTTTTTTGTATTGATGTGTATAACGTCGAGCACATTAATGTCAAAATAAAATGCGTACACATTTGAGACCAAAGACAAGCGACGATAAAGAACAAAATGACTATTAATGCGCAGAACAGCTTGTATCTATTTTTTGTCACGGAATTGTCAATCATTCTACAGTGAAGGTAATTAATGTCATAAAGTAATATAAGAAAATTGTATTATTCTTCTATTTAGAGTAGACAGCCAAGAAGTATCAATCATATCATAGAAAAGCGTCAGGATAGCTATGAAATATAACAGTTCCATTAACAATCAAATTATCTTGCTTACTCATATTCTGTATTTTTTTGTTAATTTTGTCAAGACAGACGTCTTTGAATATAATAGATATTTGAATATATCGAAATTTAATTGCTAAAGTAAACCGACATAATCACATATTCATGTTTATTTTTTCTGTAACTTAGAGCAATCTCTAGATATCAATTGATTACCATAAATAAATTATATTGACAATAAAATATTTTCATTTGTCGTTCTACTAGGTTTGATTCTGCTCACCATCTATTAGATAAATTGTATCACAGGAGAAAAGTTATCTTTTCTTGAAACTGATTGAATAGATTACACTTTCACTAATAACTGAGTAAATCCATCAATATCCGATTACTTTTTCGGATTTTTTTCTTAATCTCTTTCCAGTTAATTGAATGGGAACTAGTTAGAACAGTTTGTCAATCTGAAGGATTCTGTTTTTTTTTTATCGAGAATTGGTCAAACTATACATTTTTCGAAAATACACACACACACACACACACACACATCACTTTTCCATACTATGATAGACTAAAGTCGTTTGTTTTTCGAGTATGATGAAATAGTTGAGTCTCGAAAACTACTTATTTCGGTCAAATTTTAATAAATCAACGTTTGACAGTTGTGCTAATAGACTATACAACTACTTATGAACAAAATATGAATTAACAAGAATATTATAGTTAGGATAATCATCCTTAGATGTGATGTTTCTTGTTTTTAAATTATTATTAGAATCTGTCTTGAAAACAATCGATGTCTGAACATAATCTTGAATCGATTTGAACTTATCTTCTAATAATTATCGAAATCTGACACTAGAAGATCTTATTGACAAATTCTGCATACGTTTGATGGTGAATTTAATTAGGCACAATTTGATTGATCAAGATGTTGAAATAGTTGTGACTAAAGTCATCGTTAAAAAACAATGCACAGCATTCATCGTACCTTCCAATATAAGATTACATCGTAAGGCATAGAAACGATCGCCTCGATACTGAACATTATTACAACATTGGCTAAACTAAACATTCTAACAATTCTGTAACTGACAGTAAAATGCTTTAATGCAATTGAAAATCGATTAATATTGAATCGACGTTAATCTCTTATGTGAGTTAAAGTAAGCATTTTCAAAAGGTTCTCAAGTCAAGAAACATGCGACCGTGGATAAACTTATTCTTGCAAATGTTAGATATTTTATTTTCTATTATTTCAAGAGTGAATTGCAGGGTTTTTTTTTTGAAAAATGTTAAATGTAATTTACATAGAGTGACAATATACAGTGAGATGGCATCTAACCGAAAGATGAGACTTAGTCATATGTGTGAGTTTCCATATTATGGAAATCGTGGTGATTTTGCCGATTTTCAAAAAAAAACCATCGTAAAATTGCGATTTATCGTATATGGTAGGAAAATCAGTGATTAAATCGGATTTTATCGCAATTATGGAAAGAGAAATGATATCTCCATAATCGGCAATAAACCAGATGATAAATCATTAATTAATCAACAATTTTCGGTAATCAGTTGTGACATTATCAATTAATTAGAAAGACTCTCAAATCTATCAAACCAAGGATGAAAAACAGATTTATCTTCTGAATAGTGCTTCTACTGTGACATGAATAAGATACAAATTCAAAACATCTTTTCCATAATCGATAATTGTTTGATATTGTTTCAGATCAATATTTTTGGATTGGAATTTTTCCTTAAATTTCGTTTTCGATGAATGTTTCCATTGTTGACTAATGTCACTTCAAAAAAATTTATCTTTCTTCGTTCACGATCAAATCCTGTACCGTTGCAATTATAGTTTTATTCCTTATTTTAGATGTTTATTTCCTACACGAAGCGACCATACGACCAATGTTCTTCCAACAACTCAATCTGGAAATGTCAACTTGCACATATGAATTCTTTATTTTTTATTTCTTTAAAATATGTTCTGGTTTTTATCATGAGTGAATTTCGAGAACATGAGTTCGTTGATACATACAATGCATATAAAGACAGTTTCGAGAGCTTCTTCTTGGAAAATGTTTTTCGGAAAGATGATATCACCAAACGATACCTATTCTTCTGGTTTCAAGGAGAAATGGTCTCACTCGACGATTGTACCTTTTGCCGGTGTAGATAAATTGTTTGATGTGTCTTCTGAAGGTTGCAGATGCAATACAATACACCCAGAATGAAGAACCATTGGTGGCGTAAGTACCTAGAGTGAGAATGAGTAAAATAAGATACTCGTATGTCCGTCGCAGCAGTGTTTTTACGACATATTGTGTAGCCAAAATGTAGCTCAAGAAAATAGCTGCTGGTAATCCACTGATGAGTAAAATACACATATGAGTGATCATCATGCGAGTCACTACGGCATCTAATGCGCGACGATGTCTGAGAAGCCGTGTTAGATTATGCCAAGTGAGAAAAAAGAGAATAACGGTTAGAATGATCGGTAAAAAATAATAGCCGATTATGATCCAATAGGTACCATAAAGAGTGACAAAAGGAATCGTACTAGTACAGACAGTTGTCGTATTGGATGTTGGAATGATTGTGTAGAAAATAGGCAGTGGCAAATAGATCAAAAGCCAAACAATTGCTGTAAATAGAATCATCAACTTGGCTCGAGTGCGAGTGATCACTCGATGCCATCTGATTCGCGGTAGTGTAAGAAAAAATTGACAGAGAGCTGCAAAGCAATTGCACATGAAACTAAAAGAACCACCCCAATAAGTGAGCCAATAACTGATTTTGCACGAAAATAATGATCTTGTTAATGGATCGATGCCAATGAATGTTCGAATAACAGCTTCGAAAAGTCCAATATCAATAAAACAGAGACTACCAACTGCTGATGCAAACAGGAATAAGGCGTTCGGATGTTTACTTAGAGCCGGAATACGTAGAAAAACAAAACAGTTGCAAAAATTACCAATGGTACCCAAAATAACAATGACGAGGCCTACAGTTTTGTATAGAAAATTTTCGATATTTAAGATAAAACGGATAGTGTCAGCGTCCGACGACATTCTAATTTATGAAAGTAAATGTCATATTTAAATAGTGCACATCATCACTAACGATCTCGTGACAATAATGATATGACGTGTGTTATGTGCCTAATAAGTCACGTCAGAATATGAAAAACCACGATATCTAATAATCATATATTAATCTAAAACAACAATAGCTTTACTCATTTCATTGATGTCATTGACTTCACTAGTTCCACGAAATTTATTAGCTCTACTAGTTCCACTGACTTCATTGATTCTTAGTTTGAAGCAAAATCGAATGAAAAATCTTATATACTAGAGCAAGAATGCAATTAATTTTGTGTCTTTGTAATCATGATCTTATCACTACTAATTACGCTCCATTTATTAATGAAGAAACTTCTTCACCTGTTCCTACATCAATGCAAAAAAAAAATAATGAACAGCACTCAAATTCTACTTAATATTAATCGACAATATCCAGTCACAATAATAACAAAGAACAAAATGGCATTGTATGTCAGAACAGATTAAGAATGTTGTGATGGCATAATTTTGGATCTCATTATGTATTATTGGTTAAAAAGTGACAGAATCTTGCTCTATGCATCCCTGGAAAAAATATTTGTAGTCATTTTTTTAAGGTCATTTCACTTCTAAAAATATACTTTTACAGCAAAACCCTTATAGTATCGATAATGATCATCATCTCGAACAAATTCTTGTGCTTCTCGGTCAGATATAATACATAAAATGCGAAGAGAATTAGCTGTGAACTCCGAAAATCCACAGAACCTTTTGAAATAATACACCTTTTTGGTCATTTTCACTACTCTTATGATTTTTGTTTTTGGCGTAAATCATTGAGCACAATGAGATGAATTGATCAGATCCAGAATGTACAAATAGGAAGTTATGAATGGTATTCTTTTCACTACGTTTACATTAAATTCGGCTATACTTGATGTAAACCGAAATTCAGCTCTACATCTTGCTGCCTATGGTAGTCTCATATATTAATTATTAATCATCTACTCAATCGATAGGGTATGACAGCCAAACAGGCAGATAATCGTCATGATGATTGAATTTTTGAAATGTTTACAATTGCTCGCGAAGATAAAGATTAGTGGTTTCAATATTATTTCGGTAATACATCATCAAATGCAATTGATTTTAAGGGTGCTAGTTTACTTTATCATGCATGTCATTATAGACAAAACATCTGTTGTCAAATAGCATTTAGAAAATAGAGTCAATGTAAATACTCAACTACAATTTGATTCACGTAGTACATCTTTATATGAAGCGACATGTTAATATAACTATAAAAAAATAATTATCATCTTACAGTTCTCGAAGATACTAGAGCAAAAGATATGGATAATAATCGATGGAAAGAAGTAAAAAATCTTCCTGTAATGTGTTCTAATCACAATTTCTCAATATTCCACTTCATCTTACTCTTTATAATAAACCTTTGAAAAAAAATTCTATCGATCGTATACGTATCGATTCTAAATTTAATTCATGTGTGTTCACTGATAATTTTCATACATATAGTAAGATCGTTGATCTTTTGCATTGAAAGTTTCTATTCCTGAACAGCGAATATTCAATATTAATAATTTCATTTTCATTTTTACAGCTAGTCGTATTTAAAGAAATTTTTCGATATAAATTCGAATACACTTCAATTCTAATAGTCAACTTTATGGTCTATCTGAGTGTCTTCGCCGTTTTGAAACACACAACTCTATCATAATACTGCAAAACTTCTTGACACGCCCATTATAACAACAAGAAAAAAAATGAATAAAATGCTCATTTATATACATTAGCTTTGCTTTCACCATTTTGGTACGTGTTTACCGATGATTGGAGGTATACATGCATTTGTATATCACATTGAAATCATTTCTCGTCTATTCAGTCTTCCACCAGATATATTCAGTACAGCTATCAGTTGACAACCGTTAATAGAACGTCAAACACCTGCTTGATGCACAGCTATAATAGTCTGAGAACAAGATTCAAATACTTTTCTTCATATTGCATACTATGGAACAAATATTAATTTCATTCGTTCTATTCTTACAGATGGATTTCATCTATTCGGTACAGTTGGTTCCGATGGAAATATTGCACGAGAACAAGAAGCTTCTAATTAGATCAATTTCACCAATGCAATATTTCTCAGTTCAAATATACATTATAGTTCCGATCGGACAACTGCAACTCCATTCGAACATCAAATTATATCGTTGATTCAAATGATTATCTCAATACGATCGAATGATGTGTTGAAGATCTATCAAATATCGAAACCAATTCTGTACTTTTTATTCCAATAATCGATTCAATATTGAATGCTGCATCGAAACGAGCCTATATAATAGAGACATAAAAATTGATTGCACTATCAGATATAAACATTCTATGTGTAAAACAATTGCTTAAATTTGAACCATAAATACATCTTCTTTTATCAACACTCATTTTAAACAGAAACAACTTCAAGAAATTGTACGATAAATTGTATGTGTTGTCGGAATTTTTTTAGTTTTAACTAACAGAAATTCTATTCAATAGTCAAATAATTGAGAAAAATTCAGAATCTATTCTTTGATTTAAAATAAAAAGATAAAAATCTTTGAACTGATCAATGGTACATCATTTACCTTTCTATTGATTCTGCATTCTCATACAATGAGTCATGGTTGAATACGAGAAGTTGCGAGCTATACATTCATGATAGTAGTTTCTTATGTTTTCAAATGAAATACAATGCAATTCGATGTACAATAGAATGTGTCAAAGTTTCTATCGATTCCATCAACAGTTTAAAAGCTGAAAATGAACGTTAGAACGACCGAAAATTTCCTATCAAAATATGTTAAATATCGATAAAACACTAATCTAAATGTATTACTATGATAAATATATATGATATCAAATTGTGTCTGTTCAAATGTATTGAATGCGTGTCATATTTGCTGAACTTTCCGAGGCTGCTTCCACTATTGCCATAGTTTTCAATGCATCTCGAACTGCTGTCGAGGGTGGATCATTTTTGTTCTCGTATGCACGCATCGCTGCTGCCATCGGTCCGATGAAAGCATGAGGAAACCAGCTACGACCTTTCAAGTCTACATCCATCCATTCGCCTTTCGTAATTTCGTCTGAACAAATCTATAAAACAGAAAATAAGCAGTTGTCATTTTAATCTAGAAAAAGCACTGACTTGTAGATAATTGAGTTGCATTCTAGCCGTGTCCTCTCCATAAGCAAGTATATCTCCTAGTTGTATTTTGGCTGCACCTTGTGTTCCCTCCACAAGTATATATGATTGAGCGTGTTTACTTCCCCAACGATGATGATGATTGGTATAGATGTTGACAAAGAGCGATGGATCATGTTTAAATTCGAACGAAAGAGATGATCTTACTGGTGACAAATGTTCCATGGCTGCATGACGACTCGTTCGACAATGAAGAGCAGATGGTTCATAAGGTGCAAGAAGATCACGTATCAAATCGATGTAGTGCACTGAATGATAGTTGAGTTCAAGTCGTGGTGCACAATCCATAAAAGACCACATTGACCAGGGCGTATATACGTTAACATGTATTTCTACAGTAGTCAATCGATCTCCCAGCCATCCACGGCGAATAGCATCTTTCAGAGCAAGTATATAGGGAGCATAACGAAGTTGAAAATTGACTGAAGCATTGATATGACGTTGTTCACATTTATCAACAATCGCTTGTGCGTCAACAAGAGATTCTCCCATTGGCTTCTGAATGAGAGTATGGGAATGGATTGGCAGTTTTTCCAGAATAGATAGTATTTCTTTGGGCGGAACGGCCAAATCAAAAATGATTTTCTCATGTACTTCATTTGCACATGCCTCGTCCAATGTGTCAAATACTTTCTCGATTTTCCATTTATTTGCTGTCTCTTGCGCTTTTTGTCTATCAATATCATAAATACCTTTGACGTGGAAGTTAGCCAACTTATACGCTGGTAAATGACCCAAATTGGCAATTGAACCAGCTCCAATTATTACAATCGAATAACGACGTGAATCGACGGGTAATGGTGGTGTTTGATTCAATTCAGCCAGAAGTTGCGAACATTGCTCCATTCTCTTATTTTCTTATTCGACTCTAAAAAGTCAAGACTTATGAAGTGTATAGACAAGGCATATTGAGCTAATTCTGATTGGTTAATACATCTCTAATTTAGACATTTCAAATGTCCTTAGACGCTTCAGCTGATCTACGAACTATTAATTCTAGACATGATTGCATTTCAATATGAATAGTGCATATTAAGAAAACATTTTTCTACAATATTTTTTTATAAGATGTTAAGTTAAATTTGAAGAAAAAAATCAAAATTAATGAAAAAATATATTTTCTTAATACACATTATTCATATGGAAATACAATTATTTTTAAAATTAGTAGCTTGTAGATCAGTTGAAGTATCGAAATTGTTTCAAAAGTTATTGGCGCATAGATGTTCATAATATTAATATAATCTAGAAAAAATAACATCGTGAGATAAAGCAAAGAATCGAAATACAATTTTAAAAAAAAATATTTTTTTTTTTACTTTCAGAAATCGAACTTGCAATAATTTCTTTAAATACTTTACGTTTTAATTATATCATTAACTTCTCAATCATTACATGTTGAACGAACGGATTGTGATGAATAATAATAATATTAAGTTTTTTTTTTTACAAAGATATAAAATCAGTAGCCTTCAAAATACTTTGAGATTGTCAGTATTTTGTCTAAGAATTCTAATTGCTATTAAATTAATGTTATTTATCTAATATAAAAACATGTAACAGCAAATAAGAAAATTCTAATCGTATATGTAGATATATACCTTAAGAAAATCGAATTATTTTAGAGAAAGACTAATGAACAAAAGTAATTATCTTCAGTCACCGTGTTTACTCATTGTTTAAAAATATTTTTTCATGAAACATATTTTGAAAATATTAACATTCGTTGTATTTGTGATTGAATAGTCATATATTCAATTACTATAACAAACAAGACGTATCAATATCTATTGAATCCAAGCATTTGAAAAATAAGACGCTTCTCGTGTCTCACTCATGTCTAAATTAGACTTTAAACGGACAATATTTTTTTTTACAGTATGTGTGCTCAAGATAAGACAAACATGATATCGTATGCTAGTATCAGATGATTCATCGCTTGTCTCTTTGGTTAAACAAAAGATTAGCACACTAATGCAATTTCGAATACATAGAAGTTTTTGAGACAAAAAGATGAAGATTACGTATTATCAGATGAGTATAAGACTCATAAAGGATGATTCTATTTTATTTCTTATTGATTCTTTCTCGTAGAGGCCATGTCCATGGATACCAATGTGAAACAGCACAAAATGTAGTATCTGACTGTTGCTCTCACAAATAAGAAAATTTTGCTGCAGTTATTTCGATGTTGAAACATGCGATATGCACAAAAAAAAACCCAAGTGGTATCTATATAAAAATAACCTAACTAGTATTTAACGGTACTTTGAATTTATTTCACATAATAAGTGTCGTTAACCGACCTATCAATGCAGTATTATGGTTAACAATTCAAGAAATCTCGTTCATTCTCGCGAACACTTGCAAAAACGTGTGAAAAATTCGACGAGTTCTCATACTTTTTACCTTGTTGAACGATGTTAAAACATTTTTCATTATGAAATCATGAATTTTTTATAACTGATTTTCGATAAAAAATGTAAAAGAAAATGTCTAACTCTTCCAGAATAACTCGATCTGAATCCAAGGAATGAAACTTCGACTATACAATATAAAAGAGAAAAGAAAAAAATATATATTGAAAATCAAATTTGAACTATATATATATATCTGTGTGTCATTTAAAGAAAAATTAAAAATTTTTATTACTTTTTTCCTTTTCATATACAATTTCTTCTGATGAAGAGTTACTTTGTCAACTCGAAACGTTAAGAATAAATTTATAAATTAAATACAATAGGAAGAGAACAATTTTCACCAAAATTCCATAATCTTATTTACACGTAAACAATATATAAATCCATGACTTGATCTTGACGAGCTTAGTTACTTTTCAAAAAAAAAAAATTGGAAGGAAACAAAAAAATGAAGTGATCGATTCCCTATTCTCAACATACAAGTTTTTTACTATGTCAGCTATTCGTTTTTGTATTCCTCTAAAGAGAAATGATATGAAAAAGAAGCAAACTATTATTTTTTTGTTTTGCAATTTTATTTGTTTTAATATCGTAGATTTATATAAGCGATGAAAATTGTGACGGAATATCGAACATACATTTAAACTATGGATTATAGTCAATACTGATCCACATAACTTTACTCTGTCATATTATGTTCTTCTACATTCTGTCAGCATTCTCTATATTTTATTCCTCTTTTGATTATTTTCTTTCTCTACTATTATAAGCATCCAAGTAGACTTTAAAAAGCATACGATGTGTGGGACGAGCGCTCGAAAATTTGAAATATATATTTTTGTTCGCTCTGTTCTGATTCCGAGCCCTTCGGCAGTGATCGAATTTCGATCATTCAAAAACTGTATTCTATCGGACATCTATTTTTGACTCTTCGAAAAAAGAAACATATCAGAAGCATAATATTGAGTGCTTCAGTAGAAGCAAGTCTAGCAGAATAATAGTTTCAAATGGTGAGATTAATTTTCATTTAATGGAGCTTCTTCAAAAAGTAACTTACGAACGTCTCTCTCATTCAACTACCTTGGTAGGACAGCAGCTTTTTTCTTTCGTTCCGTCGTAAGCGTATATATATGTGAGTGATTTGCAACTTTTTCGTATGATTGGTGAGAAAAACTGAAAGTCGACCTAAACAACTTTTGAGCAGTGCATTGTATTACACTCTGTGCCTGTGTTAAGAAATACACCGATGTGACATGCTATCACCAGTATGTAACATCATCCTTGAGTTATTTTACTCTTACTTCATATCATCCATGTATGATATTAACCTTGTATCTATACGTAATACTGTTCATAGTGTTCAATACTCTTTCAATACCTTTGTAACCGCTGCGCTTTTCGTTGCATGTATGCCCATTGTTCTCTTTATACTCCGACAGATTATCGCATCAAACAGATGTAAGGATAAATCGTTGAGAAGGTGAGAGAAGAGAAGAGAACAGCCTCAATGGATATTGAACAATGTGAAGGATGCACCTCACTCGAGGTTACGCATCTTTTTTGGATGATATATGTATGTTGGTGTACAAGTCATATCAGAGTAGGTAGTTATAGTGTGTGTTATATAGAGTGTGTCATATAGAGAGTTAGATATATATAATAATGTGTGTGTTAATATCAAGAAAGAAATAAAATCACGTACAACAAGGAACGGAATTGAGGTTGAAGAAACGATAAACAAAGTAAGGTCATAAAAGACGTGATCCAACCACGCGGTCACCCATCTTTCTGCATCGTATCCTTCACGTATTATCAATTTTCCGTTACAGTGCCTATGTATCTGCATATCAATCATTAATACTTTTTGTAATGTCAGACACGAGCAAAAAAAATGTATTGGAAAGACATCAGATAAAGTATGGAAATAGAGAAGAAGTAAAGGAGCATGTAAACGCACGGAAGATCAGGGCGTTTTAGGATGCTAATCGTGAACCCCTTTGTGAATCAGAAACGTTCACAAAAAATGAATATTTCAACGCATGAAAAATCTGAATGTTTTAGAATATTAATCGCGGTTCTCAATTACGAGTCTGAAATGCTTAAAGTGAGTAGATCTCAAAATGACTGAGAATTTGTAATGCATAAACTGCTAAAAGTTGGATCCTTTGTAAGAAGTTATAAATTTTCAGATTTTTGACTGTTTTGTATTAATTATTTATCAATGGTAAAACAATGTTTAATAGTAATAAAGCAAATATTATATCCAGTTACAAAGATTCAATGTATTTTTAGTATGTTTATATTTCTTTCAGTTATGTTATTTATTTTTCAAAATAATTTGATATTTACATGGATTTATGAAGAAGATTTTCAAAGTACACCAGTATTGATAACAAGATCCGAAATTGAATTACTTTCATTATATGAAAAAGAATTATCTTGTGTAGAAAATGATTCGTTTCAACCAATTTTTCATAATCATTATTTGACATTAAAATTAAATTTAATATTAATGGGAAAAAATCATGAAAATTACTTCAAAAGTGATTCTCAAAAAGAAATTGATTGTCTTAAAATAACTTGTTTGAAAAATTCAAAAACTATCAATGATTTTCATTCAATTTGTCATATTTATTTGAATTTTAGTGTGATAATATTAAATTTTACAGAAGTACGTTTAATTTTTTTATCGAAAAACTCAAGTTGTTTATTATCATTAACAAATACATCTGATATTATATCTCTTGATATTCATCAAATGTTTTTAGTTGATGATAAATTTCGTTTTACTTATCAATGGTCGAATTTTGATCAAGGGAAATTATTCTCTTGGTCTCAATGGCCTTTAACAATGAAATATTTAAATTCAAATATAAATAATTTATCTAAAAATAAGAATCAAGCTTCAAAATTAAATTTCAGTTTTTTTCAATGTTTTTCTATAGATATTTTAATTCATTCAACTTCACAAGAATTATTCATTAGAGAACAAGAAGCTGTTTCATATTGGCTTGATTTACAAAATAATGCATCAATTAATAAAAAAATTTCAAATAGAAGCAATAATTCAATAAAACCAAGACGTTTAGTTCCATTTGAAATAGCAAAAAATAATCGAATATGTTCAGAAAAATTTCAAAATTGGATTTTAAATTATCAAAAATGGCATGAAAATATTAGTTCGACTATTAATAATCGATCAATGACATTTGAAGAACAATTTCAACGTATAATTGAACTTGATGTTCGATTTTTAATCTATGAAAAATATCCAACAGGTATTGCTGATAGAATAATTCATATGATTTCAACTTATTTAGTAGCCTTATTAACAAATCGATTATTTATATTTGATAAAAATTGGTCAGAATTTATAGATACTATGCAATCAAGTTTGAATTATCAACCAGAATTTGTTGTTCCTTGGCTTTCTCAGTTTGATATAATTAAAAAAAATTTATCTTTAAATATTCAAAAGAATTTAACTATAAGAAAATATTCGTTTTCTTTTGATCGATATATGAAAGATTATGATTATGAAAAACATTTTCGCGAGCGTATTCTTATATTTAGAAGTCATACAGGAGCTGTTATACACACAATTAAATCTAATTCAAGTATTTATAGAAAATTTTTAACTATGGATCTAAAAATGAATCCAGAAAACATTTTTGGATGTCTCTATCATTCTCTTTTTACTTATCGTTTATCTGCATTGATCAAAAGAGTTCCATTAATTTCTTCAAATAATTCATTGGGTCATTCACCTCAACAAATTTTACAAACACTTTTATCACCGAGATTTTTTCCAATTGGAATTCAAATTCGTGCTGGAGATGGAACAATGACTTGGAAACAAGTTTCTTCCAATGGAATAACAATTCTTAAGAAATTTGAAAATTTTTTTACATGTTCTCAACAAATAATTAATATAAATAAGAAATTATATCGTGAAACAAATCAAATTCCAATTATTTTTCTTTTATCTGATGATATTGAAATACGTCAAGCTGCTTTAAAACGTTGGAAATTCTCATTAGAATGTTTTTACTCAATTGAAAACAAATGTCAATCGAATAACAGTGATTTAAATATTTTAACAAATTCCAATCCGGTTTTTCATGTAACATATGCTAAGGATCGAATATTTGCCTTTCAATTAGGAATATTTGATAATTTTCTTTTAAGTTTATGTGAACAACATATAATTAGTACTAACAGTGGATTTGGTCGCCTTGCAACTTTTGCTTCTTTAAAACTACGAAATATTTATTCATTATCACTTAATGAACAACCTTCTTGTCAAAATCAAAGTCTACCACTTGCAATTTCAGGTTATCATTGGTCAGGAATTTAATTATTCGTTTATAGAACTATTCAATTAATGATTAGTTAAATATTCAAAATAAAGAATCTATGAGAAAAATGTTCTCAAATATGACGAATAATAAAAAAAATTCTTTAGAAGTAACAAATTTATTTTGTAGTTTATTATAACAATTTTTTTCTTCGAATTCGATTAACATCGAAATGAAAAGTAATTCGTTTTCAAAGAATTTCTAAACTTTTATTGGTATAGATAAATTCATTTCTTATATTTATCTATTTCATCCTTATAGAATAAATTACTTATAAAGAAATTCATGTAGAAGTCATAATTGATCAAGAATTCATTAAAAAAAACATATTTGACAAAATTCTTTTTTCTATAGATCCTACAATCGATATGTTTCGATGGTGTAGTTTTTCATAATGTTGTTGGCAAATATTCATTTGTTGTGAATTATTCTTTCATCTATTCACATTTGTTACAAGGTCACTTTTTAAAATTATCACCAAAGCTGTCAACATTCTTATTCAAATAAGATTCGAATAAAATATTGCCCATGCTCACCTAGAAACTTGTTCGAAAGTTGCCATTCTTATTTTCTCAGTGCAAATCAACGATATAATTAGATTTTCCACAAGCAAAGACAATTTGTGTGAAATTTTGAATATAGAGAAATCATGACATTTAAGCTAATTCCGTTCTAGTATATCTGTGGCAGATTTGTTTCGAAATTTTTTTTAGTAGATGATACGAGTGAAGTGAAAATCTTCGTCTACGCCCATTTCATATCCTCGCGAATTCAAAGCTATATTTTCTTATGCCATCATTTATCTCATTGTATTTTCTTTAAAACCAAGCCGATCGATGCTAATTATTCGAACAATTTTTCAAGAATTATTATTTGATTGGATTTGATTTTATTATTTCAAGAGTGGAATCTCCATTAAAAACCTTTGTTAGTAGATGATATTAAGAAATTTTCAACTTATGACATGAAACATTCGAAGGATTTGTATTGTTCAAAATAATTCACTCATAATACAAAAAATATTCAATACAAACTCATATAAGTTTACATTATTTTGACTTTTTCGATTTAAATCAATAAATTAAAAAAAAATCATTAAAATTATCAAATAAACTTCGTTATAGTTTTGAATATTGTTGATGTTTCGTTTGTAATCAGAATGTTATTTCTTAACAAGATCTGCTATCTTTTCACACATACGATAGAGTGTAAATGTTGGATTCACATTTAGTTGTGTCGGAAATAGACTAGTATCATATATACGAACATATTTTATTTTCATTACACGCATTCCTACTGGATGGTAAGCACTGCACATATTCAATCGACGATGCAGATCATTGCATTTACAGTATCGATTTCTAGGAAAAAGTTCGTTTTTAACATATTGTTTACCCTAGTTCGTATATGTCGAGTCATATTGCGAATGAAATCGACATTGTATTGTAGATTATTTTGATCATATTCCGACAAATACTAGACAATTGCAAAAGATTTTAGTGTATCAAAGACACCAGCAGATAAACTAACTTCTTTTTTTGCGATAGCTGTACGCACTTCTCTTTTATATTCGTACAAAACACTGATACATTTTGTTGAATCAGTTCGATCAAATAAAAGTTTTAAAACAGTTGCTGAATCCAAAGTTTGTAAATTCGTTCGATTGATTTCATTGAGATATACATATTCCATGTACACTCTCTTGTAGATTTTCATGAAAAATACCACAAATGATGTATTTTCAGCAACATTGCCATGGAATTTTTGGAAAGTTGTTAGTACTTTATAACCAACATTTTTTAATCAAAGGATGCGTCTTTTGAAACTCTACAAAACTGCATAAAACTTACCTTAGGCTCTTACAAATTAGCTGCCTGACAGAAACAAGAAGAATAAAACACAGTATGTACAATAGACAAAAAAAAAGGTCGGTTTCACTAATTCTAATGGATTATTCCGATTTACAAGATAAGTAACCAAGTATATGAAACATAGGACTCTGTAGAGTAGCTTTCACTCTATCGATTGGTATAATTTGACAATGGTTTTGGTCAAATTTTTGTGAGGAAAAAAGCCATAGTTTTCGACAAACAGATATTTTGGGTGAAAACTATTAGGTGGTCGAAGTATTAGAAGACATTGTCCAAAAGTTGTCAAAATTCGAAATTTCTAAGTAATGTTTTATGCTCTTTTACACTAGCAAACTTATTTCAAAAAACTAAAATTCTTCGGCAACCGATTCCATGGACCTCTCTTAAATAGTTGTTTCTTTAGTGCAAATAAGAGAATTACAAAACACTAAATTATCTTTCAAGACTAGAGAATTACTAAACTTTTTAAGTGACATCCAAGTAGTAAAAGTTTTCAAGAAATTTTCCATGATATTTATATAACATTTATAATTATTTAACAAAGTATTCGAGTTTGAGACTGCGTTGGGTATGGATATGAATCTATTGGTACTTCCTCTAACTACACCAACACCCGACTTATAATTTCTCTATGATCTAAATTCTATCATCTAATTCATCTGAAATAAAATTTTTGTCAATTAAATAAACCCCTCCCTGTAATTAGAAGATCCCGGGTCTTCTATTATGTCTCGTCATAAAAATTTCTCAGGGGGGTCTTCTATTATGTCCTAGGTTTTTTAGCAATTATTAACTAGATGTGGTTTTCCAGAAAGTCAGGATGATTTTCGGGATTCTTGCAGGGATTTTCACGGTTTTGAGAGTTGAGGGCAGGGTTGCCAGATCTTCCGATTTGGCAGGAAAAATTCCGATTTTGGAAACTTTTTCGACGACTTTATGACATTCCGATTTTTTCCAATCACCTTCCAATTTTCTGATTTTTCTTCTGTTTTTGGATTCTCTTCTAAATTCAACTTCTTAGAATATTCCAGAATCCTTTAACGATGACTCGCTACTACATATATATTGTGATCTATTTCAATGTAATTATTCGGTGCTGCAGCGTCATAAACTCAACGAAGCACACTTTAGTGCTCTAAAAACTCATCCTCAAAAAAATTAGGATATTTTACAGACAACAAAGATTTAGTTTTCTGTCGCGATGAACTAATTTTCTCTATTCGTTTACTATACTAATAATTAATAATATTTTTCTTTTTGAGTTTTTTTGTTTCATTGCAAACATAATAAAACTAATCTAATCGTGTGGAGTACTTAACTGACTGTTGCAGAATTGAAAATCAGAATGAGTTCTGTTTACTCCTGTAGATATTTTTATGAATATCTGTTATCTCAACCTGGTGTTTTGAAGAACACTCGAGCTAATAAGGAAGTATGAACAAAAACGGACGTTATAAAGAACAAATCTGGTTTCTTTTGCACAGGTTTCGTGAAATGCATGTGTGTATAAATTTTCAATATTGATTCTTTTCTTCCGTCAAGTTGCTTATAAGATTTTTGAAAAAAACAATGTGGCCCTGTTTAAATGATTTATGTGGATTTCTTAGTAAGCAGTAAATTGTGTATGTAAATTTACATTTTCTTTAATTCTTTATGAAATATTTTTTAAGATATTGCTTCGAAAAATTAATAGAAGTAAGATAAAGGATATTGCCTATTAGAAAAAAATAGACTAGCTATTTGAGCATTAAAAAAGTACTTACCGACTTTTTCTGATTTTGAGAATAAAAATTCCGACACTTTTCCGATTTTAAGAAAAAATTTTCCGATTTTTTAATTTTCGATCTAGCAACCCTGGTTGAGGGGCACATTTGGACTCACTTTCTAAAGATTCCCAGCAGAAAAACCTAAAAGCTGTGCACTTCTGGACGGAAATTCCCTAATTAAAGTTCCTAATTGGCCAAAAATTAATTAATTAAAGGGAGTCTTCTAATACGCCCAATGAACTTTTTGTTCAGGGGGGTCTTCTATTATGAGGGGGGGGGGAGGTCTACTAATATGGGGAGGAGGGTCTTCTAATGCGGGGAGGGGTTTACAATATTCGTGTTATTATGGATTTAGCCAACAGAATTTACAAAAATAATTCATTTACATTGATATGATCAAAAGTTGAAAATTTTGTTAGAATCTCATTAACATACTCTATATACAGTTAATAAAAAATCGTTAATAATATCATTGATAATGGAATACATTGTTGTTACAACACTATTTTCTGTTAATGCTAGCTTTATAAGTTTAAGTAATACTCAAAGTCAATTCTTTTGCATTATACTATTGACAATCTAATCATTTTCAAACTTCAAACTATCATTTCATTTTTTTTTTGATAAGTGTGATTCAAACACATCACACATAATTTTAACATTTCCATTTATATAAACCTCAATTTAAGCCATTTATATGAATTGATTATGTCTGCAGTAATAATCTATCGTTATAGCAAATAGATATTGTATCTGATTACTTAAAAATTATACAACAACAATTAAAAAAAAGAAGATTCATAAAAGTTCAAATCCAACGAATCTTTTGCATTGATAGATTGAGTATTTCTTCAGCTAGTTTTGTTCCTTCAACTCTAGCTCGAATTTTTTCATAACATTTTTCTCTTGTAATTAATTCATTATCATTATATGGAGAAAAACCACAATCATCTGTTGTACCTAATTGTTCAATAGGTATGTATTTAGCTGCCGTCAGAACTCGATCTCGAACTATTTCAGATGTTTCTACATGTAAATCTCTCGGATTAATAACACCAATGAAGACACGATGATGAGGTTTGATAAGTTTACCAATAAGAGAAAGAATACTATCAGGATCTAGTTCAGTTGTCATTTGTAAATAAAAATTATTTAATTTAAGTTGAAAAAGTTCATTTAATATTCGTGAGCAATCAACATCCGCAGAATGAGTACTACCTCTATCATTACCTATAATGAAAATAATAGCAAAAAAAAAAAATTTTTTTTTGTTTGAAATTTTGAAACGAATTCTACAAACCTGAACAAACATGTACACCTAATTTCTTTCTTTCTTCTTCATTAAAACGATCTAACATTCGA